GCTTAGTGGTTAAGATGCTTGCCTTCCAATGCTAGGGTGCTAAGTTAAAATCCTACAAATTATTTTCTTTTTTGATTAAAAACCTTTCACCATCCCCTTTATCTGCTACTGGGAGGGTCAGTAAAGGAAATGTAGTTCAGTGAGGGGTCATTAGAGAGAGTTAAAGAAGGCATGGTTAGAAGAGGGCCAGGTATAAAGAGGGTGTTGGGGCAAAGTGCTAAAAATTTAAAGGAAATCTATGATTATTTAAATAAAAAATGTACATAAAAAAAATTAAAAATAAATGTTTGAGTGACTGAGAAAAAAAAATCAAACATAAATCTCTTCACAAAGCAAAATGACAGTAACCAGATGGTATATAATATATCGTATAACTTTGCCTCTTCTTTGCTTAGAAAGACATGTTTCTTTCAATTGCTTTATCAATGGATGAAAATCATCCAATCATCAATAAAAACCAATGTGATTTATCATTTATGCCTTAGTGCATTCTTACTGCGTTAATGTTCACCAAAGAGCTAAATTTAAAGTAGTTATTTCCAACGTAAACGGCTGTATCGTCTTTTTTTTTTTCGCCTGTCATGTCAAATTGTCAAGTAAGTACAATAGACTATCTTGATTAATGATTATCTGGGGCAAACTGAATTCTTATGTATGGCTTTAAAGTTTGTTGACTTCCACAAAAAATGAGTGCGTAATACTACACTTTAAACGTGGTTCTTTCTTTATTTCTTGATTTATTGGTTAATTGATCGATCGACTGAGTGATCGCTACCCCAGTAAGCATAGTATTCAGGTGTTCTTTTAAGCATTCCCTTCTGTAAGACTTGAGCTTAAGCCTACCTTAGAGCTTAATACCTGCCCACCTACTCAGGGTGTAAAAATAGAAACAAAAATTTATCTCCTTATATAGTTGGCATAAATATAATCAGGACTACAGGCAGCAGCTGAATATTTTCAATTTCGATAAACATGAAATTCGTAAAAAAATTACTACCAGAAAATTAGAATGAAGTGATTGCAATTCAGTGGTGTAACTAGGAGTAGGGCGCACTCTTCCCCCAGTCGTGCCCCAAAAATGACGATAAAATTCACCTCAAACCACCATATTTTGTGAGCCAGTGCCCCTCACCTAATCATTGAGCTCCTCCAACTTCATCTTCGTACTCCCATCAGGTTCCCCCCCCCCCACATTTCAAGCCTCCTAGGCACACCACTGTTGCAAATACACAATGTTTGGTAAATTTGATAATTAAGAGAAGTTATGAGTTTTACACATATAAAATGATATTGTATATATCTTTAGATAAAAATCAAATGTTGGCTTTCTTGCACATTACACTAACCCACGCAAATCAATGATGCAACTTTAACATGGTTTTTTAGTTACTCAAGTAATTCTGCTTCAGATATTATTACTAACTAAATCAAACAACCATACAATCTTGCTGCCTCCACAAGCAACATGGCACACACAGCCACACATGCATTTGTATCATCCATCATATAAAGATGTGGATTACATATTTAGGCTGATTATGGAGGTGAGCTTTTGCCTAAGGAACACCTTTATGCACAAAAAAAATTATGTTCATTTTTTTTTTCAAGATGATTGCCTGTCCCTATAAATATAGAAAAATTTGTAAAAATAACTAACCAAAAGAAAAAAAATAACACTATATGCCTAATCACTTTTTTAAATCCCTAAGTTTGCTGAGCTATTTTCCAAAAACCGAAAGGTCCACTAATATAAATAATATTAAATGCAAATGTTATTCATTAACAGACACAATGTAAATGTGTATGACAAGAGCGACCGCTCACCAATCTGTGCGTTCCTCCACGCTTAAATACAGTAAAGGCGCAAATTATTATATTGGGTTTTTGGAAGAGCTAATAAGATAGAAATTTTTAAATAATTAGAATGTTTATTTGTACAAAAAAATATATCATTTAGAATGTTCATTTTGTACAAAATTAAAATGTCTTAAAATTGAAAAAAAAAAATGTCTTAAAATTGGGGAAAAAATAGTTAGACGAGATTTGAACTCACAACCTTTAGTTCTTTAGAACACATCCTTAACCGACTGCGCCATTCATGTAACGTACCCCATTAGTGGTAATGACAGTACTTGTTGAAACCCCTGTTTTCTTTTGTAGGTGTAAGGGGAACCCTGGGGTACAACTTAAAAAAGGGTGATAAACATTTGTTGGAAATATATATGTACAAAATGTCCTGCATGTCCGTTCTAAACTGGCGACGCTGGATGCTTTTAAAGTTCTGGTAACAAAAACAAGGACAAGAACAGCAGCAAGGTTCTGGGGTCAGTGCCCTGCATGGACCCAAAAATATGACTTTCAAATATGTAAGCTGACTTTTTAAAAATTATAAACAAGAAATTTTTGTTGACATTTTTAATTTATTATTCTAACCTTAGGCATATTTAAAATGTCAGTTACAAAACGAGTGATGATACAGTATTAAATATGAAGAAGGAAATTATATATTTTGCAAATAATTTCAGTTTATTATTCAAACCTTGGGCATGTTTAAATATCAATTTTAATTATGAAGAAGAAAATTGTTTAAATTTTGCAAATAATCTCAGTTAATTATTTAAACCTTGGGCATGTATAATAAGTCTATTTCCAAATGCTTTTTACTACAATGACGAAATTGAAAAAAAAACATTACTTCCATGACAAATAGTGTACAACTATCGAGGTCATCTTTTTTTGACATGATTATTAAGTCAGTTTAAGTAGCACGTAATTAGTTTTTTATATCACTGAAGACAAAAGGTACATTCAGTATGTAATATTACCAGTGTACTCTCGTAGAAATTCAGTATTTCTTTGTTTGAACATTGTAAAAAAATATTCATGTTTACCATAGCTAATCCTCTTTCCCTCCCCTCCCCCCCTTTATTCAAATCTACATTTGTAATTCTTGTCACAATAATGTCTCTCTTTACTTATTCTTGACTTATCCATTACACACTTCTAATAGAGGATCTAGACTGCCTCAGCCCCACAATGGTTCGGGCTGTGGTACCTTAAAAATGAAAAGTTTCTAATAATTCAATAATTTCTCAAAAAAAAAAATAAATAAATAAAAATAATGTGATGCTTAAAGTCTCAATACAAGGCTTAGAGAGTGGGGATATTTTCTGGGTCATTAGAAAAATTTCCTGTGTTGTCACAGATAATAGCCTTAACAACCAACTCATCAGAAGAACGCTAGGAATACGCGCACGTCTCGTAATCACACGTGTTGTCCCACAAACGCACATGTTCACGTATGTTTTAAAGCTACGTTCACATCAAGCCCAGAGAAAAAATTGTGAAAAAGGGTTCAGTGGTAATGAATAGGACCGTTCACATCAAATTTGCACGATTTTCAATCCGGACTCCCCTAGCCCCCCAGCCCCCTCTGGCTCCACCACTGATCAGCAACAAGCTTGGTTGGTTCGAACTAATCGAACACATTACATACTTAACCCAAACAATCGTGTTCCGTGCGCGATGTGAACGTAGCATTCAAAAAACATAGCAACTCACGATTTTTTGTCCGGGCCCCGGACCGGATCCGGGCTTGATGTAAACGTAGCTTAACACTGTCGTCTTGTGGGATCTTATCCAAGGGGCAGGGCTTAGCAAAAAGTTTGATTGTTAACAGTGGCTACTCACTGTTGATTTTGTATGGTAAATAATTGAAAGCAGATGAAAGCCCATCATTATTTATATGTAATAGTTGAATAAGTTAAGAAATAACTAATCTTTTTTTTTTTTTTTTCCCCCCCCCAAGGAAAAATATAGTATACTGTGAAAGGTTCTTTGATGTAATAAAAGCAAAAATATGTTTCAATGTTCCTTTTTCAGACTGCCACATAATTATTATTAATTTGTTATTTAAAGGAATCGAAAGTGAAAAAAATATTCTATTTGTTGTTAGACTGCAATAATTCAATAGACATTTATAACCAGTGGTGGATCTTCCCCCCCCCCCCCATCCTCCACCTAAATTTTTTTCAAAATTATAACAAAAATGGAAAAAAAGTAAAATTTTTAAATTTAGGATTGAGAGTGCCATCTACAGGTGCCATAATCATAAATTTCTTACCTCAGCCCCAACCACAGTGGCTTTTAAAAAATTGATTAACTTATTCGAATAGAAAATAATTTTATCATCATTCTGAATTTTATGCGAACTTAAAATTATGGCACAGAATTTTTTTTATTTTAATATTGTTTTCTTTTGGCCTTTTTCTTGTTAACTTTGCCTTGCCGTTGTTTTGTATTTTGCTGTTTTTTTTATGCGAGGGCCCCATGATTGTCAGCTAACCGCTGTTTTGGGGTACCATCAAATGAAGTAAATGAAGTTTAATAAAATAAATAAAAAATAAAAGAAATCAATACAAGACCTCTAAAGCAGACCAAGCAAATTGGCCTAGCTAAGTATTGCTTGTTAATGTTAAGGTTATTCTCTCCTTTTTCTTTTGTGTATTTTGTAACACCGCACCACTGACTGTGAGTGCTAACAATACAAAGGTGAAGTGTCACAAATAAATAAATAAATATATAACACTTGGAAGATATACAACCAAGCTATAGCAGTAAGTACAGTATGTCAACAAATGATTAAAGAACAAGTATTTGACACCCACATAATCCTAGATTTCCATCTGCAACATAGTGGGTCCTTACAATATTTACATAAAAGCTGTCATCAGCTAATCACATGTCTGGACCTTTCAATTTAACAGCATAAACATGACGGAAATAGTAGGCCAAAAATTAAGTAAAAAATACAAGTTGATAGATTTATTAAAAACAAACTGTAAACATCAAAAGAAGAGCGATAGCAAGTTTCAATCACAAGACGTATGAGATGATTATTTGTACCGTAAGTCATCTAAGAGGGATTTATTTCATTCCTTACTTACTTACTTAACCGCATCTGACATTGGTCGGTGACGTATACAAAATTCTTTCTCCAGCTCAGTCGATCCATCATTGCCGTCTTCAATTCGTGCCCTTCGAGACCAGTGTCTGTTTCCAGCACGTTCTTTAATGTTGTTGTGGCCATCTGGCTTCCAAAGTAAAACCCTACCGGCTGCCTCATCGTTTCTTATCATGTGACTAGCAAGAGCAAGTCTACGTCGAATGATGGAGGATAGACGTGGATGTTTACCGTACAGAGACTTGTTGGAGGTGTGCGACTGCCAGGAAACGTTTTGAACAATCCTTAACATTCGGGTGTATGTTCCATCAATTTTTTTAGTAAGAGCTTTCGTTAAGGTCCATGAGTCAGCTCCATACAGCAGTATGGACTCCACACAGTTGATTTGAAGAGTCTCATTTTTGTTGTTTTTCTGATTGGTGCCGACCACACTTTTGACAATGAGTGTAATGCACCCCACGCTTTACCAATTCTTGTGTCAATGTCATAGGATGTAAATGTGTACCCAAGAGCTTATTATTCAATCGCTTAATTGATCTTAAAAACCAAGTTGATAACTTTAAAAACATTTCACATAATATCATTTTATATTTAATTTTACTTCTTCAATATTTTGAGCATTGTAATTTTAAGTAGTTTTTTACACAATGTTTTAGTATTTTATAAATACTTTTGTATTAGGTTATGTCAGTCATGTCAGTCATTTTTCTTTTTTGTTTCATACTGTACATATATAGGTAAATTTCAATATTTGAATAATAAAAATGTAATTTAAAAGTGTAGATTCAAGTAAGTTTTATTTGCATGAGATAAGACGAAACATGATTTGAAAAAGCCATTTTTTTCACAATTTTGAATATCAAAATGTGTATGTATTACACGCAAGCCGACACCCTGTTTTTTTAACCATAATTTACGGTGCGTATTGGGGTGTCTGTTAGGTTGTGTATCAAGGTATCTGTCAAATTACACCTGTCTATTAAGATGTTTATCATAATGTCTTTCAGGTATGTTAGAACATGTATTAGGATTTCTGTCAGGGAATATTGTAGAGAGTGTCACTGTCTTTTTCAGAATACATGAGATTTTCAGGATAAGTATCAGGGTGTTTGACTCTTTCATTCTACATAAATATGAATAATAAATATAATTGAATTAATGTTCAATAAATTAGATTTGGTGCTTGTGCCAAGCTGTGTATGAAACTACAGTACAATGAAGTCTCATTTTTTAAGCAGCTGTGAGTGTATATCTATATATAGAACACACATATTCTCTTGTGAACAGGCATATCATTTAAGTTTTCTCAAGATTCATTATTTGTGTCCTTTCGGAAAATCAGTTGGTACATCGCATCACAAAACAAAGTGCAGAATTAATACAAAACAATATAATTATAATTAGGCCCTAAAAACTTTTTAGCCAAGTAAAAGATGCATTTAGTGGGTGGGAACATGAAGTTTATAAGAAAATCATTGGTAGAATTTTTAGTGTACTGTACATGTAGTGGAGATGTATAATTTATGGTTAAGGTGATAGTTTTCCAATCCCAGACTGCTGGGTTCAAATCCTGTGATTTGTTTCTTATAACTAAAGCTTTGTCCATATATGGTCATGATGTGATATCATGAAGACTATATTTAGGCATGTCACATGCTTTTGTCAAATCATATTTGATAGTCTGGACCAGGCCTTTGCCTCATTAGACCTTTCACACCTGCAGTANAACCTGTCTCTTATACACATCTGATGTGTATAAGAGACAGATATATCACAGAATCTGTGATATTAGGGTGCCTATTATCACAATATTGGTGGCACCAAAATTTTCCCAACAAAGGAGTCCATTATCCTTGATTTGCCACATTATACTGTGGCAAATTTAAAAAATAGGTACCTTTAAATACTCAAAAAAATGTTTTAAAAAATGGCTTCTTCCCCAAAGTTTTCCCGATGGGGGTCTTGTGGCCCACTGGTGCTGCTACTGACTCGCATGTGGTAAAATCAATGACTCAGACATCAACACAATCATAAAATGTACAATATATAAATTCATCAGCGTCTTTAATCCTCATCATGTTAATACTTCAAGGTGATTGGTTGAATAAGAGAGTGAAACCATTCCACAACCTAGGGCGGAAATTTAATATTCCCAAATATGAGGCACTTTTGAAGTTTTAACATCATAGAAACTTTCCATATTCCCTGAGTTTTCCAATACCCTCAGGATTAAAATCTTCCCTCGATAACTTCAATTGCTTAATCTGTTGAAATCTCTTTAATTCTGCTATCGGTTGAGACATGATTTGATTCAGTCATCTTTCCAATTGATTTTTATAATTTCTTCAGCTCTCTGGTCATTCTAAGTTACTTTCAGGAATACTTTCTCATTTTCATTCAAAAATAATAACTTGCATAAAATATAAAGGGTAAGCAGTTCTAATATAAAATATTCTTTTTAAGTTTTTTAGCTGAATAAAGACTTTGTATATCTACAATTAAAACACAATATTCACATCTCTAGGATTTCTATAGGTTCTATTACCCAGCACTGCACTGCATAGCATACTTTTACCATAAAATCCTTTATAAAAATACTCCGTAAAATCCTTATGCTTTCAATTTAAAAGAAAAAATATAATAATGGTGGACTTAATAATATAAATGCATATTACTGGATCACTTTTAGACTTACGAACCAGAAAAACCCTGAAACTGATCCAAAAAAAAAAAAATTCATTCAATTCCTACTCCTTAAACTTAAACATTGACTTCAGGTTTTTATTTTATGTATACAATGTTGGATATTAAGCCCACATGGAGCTAAGTATACTGTAAGTGTTGAATATTTGGATTGTTTAAGGGTCAACATTTTTCCATCATTTTTATGACAGTTGACAACATACACTAGGGGCGGGTGTTAACACTGTATCTTTCTCCCTCCTCCCCCTCTCCTTCCAGAACCACGCAAAAGTAGTGGACAAGTTTTTTCCCTGGCACACTTTCTGTTTCAACTCAAACACCAATCAATTGATAATTTTTTCCCTCTGGGAGAAATATACTCCGACGATATATCTAATGAGTCACCTGATGATCGTCAATTGGTCATTAACTCAATTAATTAGGATTAAATTAAATCTTCCAATTTCCATCGCCTAATCTTTAACCATCGCTCTAGATGTCCATTTAGATGTATTTCATTTGTGACGTAAAAAAGTGGAAATAAAAACTCTTATTTTTTTTTATCACAAAATTCAGATTGAAACTGTGAATGACAAAAAAGGATATTGAACATGTAAAAGGATATATAAATTACAAATAAATAATTAGTCATGAAATAATAATAAAATTATAAAATTAATTATTTAAATACTATAGTATACAAGTAATATGATCAAAAAATAATAATAGCTTGCTTACTTTTTAAAAAATGTCTTAGGGGAGGCTGTGATATCTTTCTACATTAGTATATTTCAATTATTCAAATCATTATAATTACTGTACTAATTATTCTTAATAATTACAATGCTTGTCATTATCATTTACTAACAGCAAACTTTGCAACAATATTAAAAACTACCACAAAACCAATATTTGACATTAATAAAACATATAACTACTATTTGTCATTTATATATTTTTGCCTATACACTATCTGACAGACATGATCAAATTCTGAATTTATACAACAGGAAACAAGGTTATTAAGACACTGGGAAGAAATTTAAATTCAACAAGTTTTAAACTATTTATATTATCCTTTTTTTCCTGTCTGTATCAAATTTAGAACGTCACAAAAATTATAGTGCAAGTTTCGATTCCCTAAATCATGATTTCTAAACTCATAATAATAGTTACGTTAATGTTTCACTGGAGTAAAAATAATTGCTAGTAAAATTGGTTATTGAAATGCATTATTGTTGTTGTTGTTGTCTCCGAATAAGAAGTACAGAAACTGCAGGTGGAAAATGTAACAAATTATGTGTAGGTTGTATAAGGCATTCACTCAATGTCAAAATTGTGAAAAACTTGGTTAAAAATACCAACATCAAAATCTTCTATTTGTGGAGCTTAGATATTAACTATATAATTAGGGTACTACCATAAACTTTAGTTTCAATCTTAATCTGTTAGATTTCATGCTTAAAATGTACAAAGTAAATTTCAGCATTTACTTCAATAGAGTTGGTCTCTATAGCCTAATAAAAATGCTCAAATAAGTAATCAACATTTAATGAGATTAGAGTATCAAAATAATTCGGTTTTAGCAGACTTACAGACACGATTACCAGTTTTTATGCAAACAAAATAAGAATGGTGTTTCTCCATTTGGCATGAAAATAGTTTCTTTTTTTGTTTTTGTTTCAAGCATTATTAGCACATAAACCATTTGTCTATGTTGTTTAACACGTTGGCTGCCAGAGACAACTATACTCGTAAAAATCGGGGTAATATTTTAGCGTTTATTACTTCTTGTTATACATTGTAGAACCACAGACATAACAGCTGGTAGTTCAGGGAAGATACATCTAGACGATAACGTACAAATGAGGCATGTTGTGTCAAAAGTTGTAGCAAAAATTGAAATTCAAATTATTTGTATTTTCAGGTACTTGAGTATGTAATCTTTAAAATGAGGGGTCATTTATTGAAATTGGACATTTCAAGCCTAAGTTATTGGAAAGTGAATGTACAATACTCTTAGAATCAAGATAAACATGATTTTGAGTAAAATTGCCTTTCAAAGTTATTTGTGCATACATTGTTTAATAGAATGAACTATCAAAACAACAGTAAATAAACAATTTGTTGACAAATTCCAGAACTAATACTTTGGTACATGATTAATAAGACATTATACTGTTGATCTATAATGAAAAATAAATTTGGATTTTTAGGCAATTTTTTGAGCTCCCATATTTTATAGCTCATTTACTCAATACGGGCCACAAGATGCCTCAAATGATGTATGTATGTTTGTTTATTTTGTTATGTTGCCGGTAGTACACTCGAGCGTCCAAGTGGGAGCGCCCTTGGAACATATACAGTAACAACCCATGCAAAAAGCGGACGAGAAAGATGCTAAAAAATTACCTCAAATATAATAAATAATTGTATATATTAATATAATATAGTAAATGTTTATAATAAATTTGATGCATACTATAAACATGAGGAGGTCAATAGTAAAAATCCATTTTAAAGTAAAGAAAACTGAATCATATTTTATTAAATATCTACTTCTCTTTGCTTTCGAGAATGAGAGACAACTTCTTCAGCCCCAGTTTAGATAGATGTGGACTTCTCATTCATACAACTTACTACTCTTCTTGGACTTGTCAACAGCTGCAAAAAATGCTATTCTAGTCCACAACTTAGAAAGATTGGTATATCCAAGGGCTCAAGGTTTAATAAAATAGTAAAATAAATAAATAATAATACACATTTTTAAAGCGCCTATTAAAGCAAACCAAACTGGCTTGTCACTGGCGCTGGAGATGTTAGAAAGAAGTTGAACTATTTGAAGAGGAATGATTTAAGAGTAGATTTGAATAATTGCGGATCAGAAATGATACGTAATTGAGGAGCACATTTTAATGTTCCACTTTCCATTTTCAAGGTTCCAGTTACTCGTATTATTAATGTCTTTATGTCAATTCCCAAAGACTTTAAAATTGTTCTGCACAAAAAGAACTTTACAACAGAGGTAAATATTTATAGGCACAATCAGGTTTTAGGAAATAATAATTTTTTTGACTGACACATGATTATCAAATATAATGAATCAAATTACTGAATTCTCACTGGCATACTTTTGATGGATGTGCAAAAGGCTTTTGATTATGTTAATTTTGAATTTTTTTTTGTAATAAATTAAACAATTAAATTTAAATTAAATCCACCAACTGGTTTAAAGATTGTCAGGAAGAAAACATAAATCGAATAATGTCTAGGTATTCCTTCTTTTCATTATTTATAGTTGCCATCCGAATGCCAGTGTTAATGATAACTGTAAAATGTATAGCTGTTTACAGATATCAATGTAATTACATTTTCCCATTCCAACCATAAAATAATTGAACCAAACAAAAACTTGAAAAACCTTGAGTCACGTATTAGATAGGGTATAGACAGTAAGTTATCAGAGCAAGACCAAGTATATTTTTAGTACAAAAACAAATGTTAACAAGATCAACTATTTTTGGTGTTCAAAGGTGTTGATACAATAGTTGGAAGCAAGTTAATAAGCTATTTAGGTGTTAAGCTTGTCTGGAAATGAAATTGCAAAAATTGTGTCATTCACAAAGAGAATGTTTGATTATGTTTATATAGGCTAAGCTAAGCTAAGGTTGATGTCAATTAACAAGGGTGCAAGATATCTTGCTTCACTCTAATTCAAACCTTGTTTGATTGTTTACCTCCTGGTTGGTTGACTGGTATATCCTCTGAGCTACAAATAAAGCGTCAGATTTCACAAAACAGAATTGTTTCTTATATCTTGAACCAAGGTCCTCGGACACATGTAGGTTAATCCAAGCTTTGGAATGATGGATTACTAAATGTTACAGACATAGTAGTGAGAGCAGCCAGCTACTGTGTGTGTGTGTGTGTGCGCTGAACCGTGGAGATCTCTTGGTCCCCGGTTCAATTCCCCTCGATGCTCTCCTTGTGTTTTATTTGGATTTTCAAAAGCGCACCGTCTTTCAGATGAGACGTTTAAGCCGTTAGTACCATGTGCAAAAAGGCCCACGTGCATGTTAAAGAATTCAGTACACTCTTTGGAAAAGAGTAGGGGATTGTCTCCCGGTTTACTGCTCAATTCACCACCAAAAAAGGATCCCACTGGAAATAAGTCTCAGGACTTCCGTGGGTTAACCTATGTGTGTATCACACCTCAGAAATCCAATCCAATCTGAACTTTTGAAACACATTTAGGTTTTTCCATGAGATCAGCACCTCCTATATCATAAATTGTAATGTTTCATATCACTTACCATCAGCAGGCCTAGTCCAAAGTTGGTTGTCTGGTGTTTCTGCGATAATTCTATCTTGTGGAGTATAGCCTCAATTCTCTTATCATCAAAACCCTCTCTGAAAATTCAAGTTATGAAGGCACCGTATTTATCCCAATAAATGCCCCACTTTGAATAAACGCCCCATCGAAACATCATTCATAACACATTCTATTAATGTTCTACACCAGTAGTAAATGTTTTTTCTAAACCTGGTTGACAGCAATATTTTAATATTGTAATCACATGTTGTAGCTCCACAATTACGCCCCCTCAAAAACCCTTCGCAACAATAAACATTGTATTGACATTAAAAAATTATTGTGATCTTTATTATCCAGAAATATTTGTTGCTGTAGATTGTTTTTTAGCTTTTTCCAAATTATTCACCCTTTAGAATTGTTCTATTTTGCTCTGCTCTTTTTCAGTTTAATCACTCAGTTTAGTTCTATAAATAGTGTGAATAAATTTAATGAATAGCCATTCAATCATTCTTTTGTAACAACATTATCGAAATGTGAAATCATGCTAAAAATAATAATTGATAATACAGTATTTAGATGCTGGAGGTGGTATAATCAATCACGTTTATAAAAGGATGATTTTGCTAGGCTAAAATGAAAGATAGTACAAAAGGAGAAGTGTGAAGACAAGAGTGAGGAGATTAAGATGAGATGGCTGTACAGACAAGATGAGGTTGAAGAGCAGAGAAAGAGGAGACATTTGATCTCTTTCTGATTGAAGTAATAATGTATTTGATACTTTTATATGAATTACTATATTCAAAATTGAAATTGATTAAGCTTCGTCCAAAGTTTTGGAAGGGAGTGTGGAGAGATTATGCTATTAAGGTCACAAATAGTAGACACATAATTTTAATAAGCAATATTACATTTATGCTTGAGATTTTTGGGCCTTAAATGCATGAGTCTCACATGGAATGCACAAGACTTGATGGGTCTGATGAAAGGATGGAAAGAAAGTTTAGAAAGTGGGAAGGAAGAAATGATAACTCAAAAAATGTGGGATAAGGAGGAAAGATATGTTACAAGGAAGAGAGTACAATTCAGCAATGGAAGACAGGTGAAAAAAAAACAGAAGTGTAAATAATGGAGAAAAAAGGTCAAGATAAAATATATATAATACATATATAATAAATACATACACTGCAACCTTTTGAAAAGTTTGCTGAATAATGTCTTTCACCTTCTCCACATCTTCGGTTGCAATCCCCTGTAACCCGACTGAAAATGATGCTTCCTTCGTTGAATTATCATACCTGAAAATATCAAGCAGGTATGAGAAATTGTCCCTCACTATTGTTGTTTAAACGTCGAAAGTGGCCACGGTAGCAGGGCAGCATAGTTGCCGTCAGCCCCAATTGTACGGGGCTGGAGACTGGCAAAGACCCCAATATGGTCCAAAGGCAGAGCCTCATGGATAGCCCCAAAGCTACATTTTATGCATTTAAATGCTTAATTTAAGTAATTACAGACAATTATAGAGATTCGATGTTGAGAAAAATATACTTTTTTTGTTTTGAGCCCAGAACAGGGCCAAGGCCCTGGGACACTTGCCCAAGTTAGGAGTTTGTACGTTGCTAAAGACCCCATTGCTACAGCATCAGCTGTTAATATTTCTTGTTTTGTAATGCACTCCTGTAATTCAGCTTTAATATTGTCGTTTTAGGATAAATGAATAATTTGAATGGCACCCAAACAATAAAATATACATGATTAGGCCAAGTAAAAAAAAAAAACATGTTTCAAGTCCGGCTTTTTTTTTAAATTGAGGAAGAGGCCTTTTTTATTTTTTATTTTTTATTTTTCAAAATGGCCGCCATTCTACAGACTTGTTGACATTTCCCGTCTAGTTTTGTTCAACATAATATAAAAAGACATCACCCAAGATTAGAAGCTGTATACTGTTTATTTGGCAAGAGTGTTATTGGGTATTATAAGCTTTTTTCTATTCACAGTGGCATTGCAGTATGTAAGGTAAAGTTGTAAAGTAACCTGAATCAAACAAAATTGCGCACATTCACTCCTGAGTATACATCATTTTTATGAAATATATTAAACAACTATATAGTACAGCTTTGGCTTATCTATTAAATCTAGTAAGTACAGTATTATGGTGAAAACTAAGTAAACTTTTCTTTTACAGATATATGGCATATGTACAGAAAGTAAATCTAGAATGGAAAACATCTACAGTTTAATATTGGCAAGGTGTTTTTCATTGTTGAGTGTCTTGAAAACTTTACAAATCTTTCTATTCACAGTGATGATATTGCAATATAGGTACCGGTTACAAAGTTTAAATATAAAAAAAATCTGTTTTAGATATAATTGCACACACTGGCTCTGCATGTCTATCACTAAATATCAACTAAATAGTTCAGCAGAATTAGACTCTAGTAATAAATGTAGTATTATACTATGGTAATTAACTCTTGGTATGGCAGCGAAAATATGATAGCCTCGGTTTACCAGTCGCATTTAGGAATCATTGTTACTGTATACAATCGGAATGTTCCCGATGTTACGTCTCAGACGTCTTCACATGAAACTAT